CAGGAATGCTCTTAGTCTCGAATATTTCAGGGCATCCCCACCCAGGGCCGTGCCCTTCCTCTCGGGTTTGGTTTTAGAAAGTGAGTGAGTGTAGAAATAAGAATCCAGCCGTCCTGCAGGCGGGGCAAACTGGCCCAGCGGTTCTACCAGAACCTGCAAGTTTAGAAATCATTTTCTAGATGACAGGAGGAAAGCATAAATCCTGAAGACCTGGGTGGCTCTCAAAATAGGCCACCTAGTTTGCTCTTGTATCTGGTCTGGAGGTCTGTCCTAGAGTCTTAGAGGTGAAGCACATAAGCTAGGCCCCTGTGCTCCTTCCTAGTTTTGGTGTGTGTTGTTTGCTCTGTCAGCTTCAGGGGCGTCTCAGAGCTCTTGGAAAAGGGTTCACCTTTCCCGGTACAGCTGTACCATGAGTTTCAGTTACTGCCAGTATGGCTAAAAGCAGTTTCAGGGCTTCCTTCTTGACTCTTCTTAGCCTGAAAAGCTGTTTGTAAGACATTTATGGAAGATATTTAGAGAAAACCGAGTTTCACCTAACGGGCATTCACCCACCCCCCTACTTATTTTAATTGTGGTTTGGGGTTAAATGCAGACTACTGGCAACTATTGGTAACACAGCCCAGTCCCTAGAGCTGGGGTTTCCCCTGCTCCCAGAGGAAGTCCTGGAGGGATGAGAGAATCCAAAGGAATGAACAGAATCAGGGAATCCTCCAAGTGCTGTCACGTGATGGTCTTGGCTGAGGTCAGGAAAACCCAACTTGGTTCAGCTCTCTTTTCTCCAGGGTCTCCTAAACCTCAGCTCTGGCTCTTCAAGGGGACAGTTCTTCCAAATCTTCCTACAGGCCTCTGAGGCTCCAGCTCATCCATACGAGCAGAGAGTGAAGGAAATCCTGCCCCTTCCCTTTGGTCCCAAGGAAGATGCAATTGGATTTAGGATATTCTTACTCACTGGCTTTCTTCAGCTAGGCCACAAGCCTTAAAATGTTTAGTGTGTGCTAGGCCCTGGGGATGCAGAGATGCAAGAGTCCTTTTTCTCTCAAAGAACCCCAACTTTTCTGGGGAGATAGTAGATGTAATTCCCAGCAATTGGTGGCTAGTACAAGAATGTTGGAGAGGGGCTTCTAAAATCCCTGAAACAATATGATTCATGGAGGAAGCAACATTTGTTAAGAAGTCAACAAATAATCTATCTAGCTGTCACTGTGACTCTTTAAAAACATTGCAACCTGAGGCTGGAGAGACGGCTCAGAGGTTAAGAGCACTGGCTCTTCCAGAGGCCCTGAGTTCAATTCCCAGCAACTATATGATGGCTAACAACCATCTGTAATGAGATCTGGTGCCCTCTTCTGGCCTGCAGGCATACATGCAGACAGAGCACTACAACCTTTTAAAAATGTTTATGGGTGCTCATTGAGCTGAATGAATGTATTCTTGAAATTATCATGTGCCTGTGTCTGTAAGCATGTACGCACCCCCACTTGCACGTGTGCCAGAGCACATTTGTGGAGGTCAGAGAAGAGTTTTTAGGAGTCGGTCCTTTCCTGGTCCTGTGGGATTTGGAGATTGAACTCAGGTCATCAGGCTCACACAGCAAGCACCTTCACTCTCCGAGGCCTCCTGCTGACTCAAGCATCACATTCCTTTTGTGGAGGGCTTGGAAAACATAGCAACTAAAACAGTAAGTAAATATATTTATAAGTGTACAAACCAAAGGATAAACATTTGCCTGTATTTCTTTCTAGTCTTATGCATATATTTACATAATTGTGATTATATTGATTTTAAAAACCGGTAGCATTCTCTTTTTGTTCTACCACATTCCTCCTCTCCCTGTCCTCTGTCTGTTTCTGAGGTACTGGGGATTGAACCCAGCGCTTCTCACATGCTTGGTAGGCCCTCTACTACTGAGTTACATCTCTAGTCCTCTTTGGCTTTTCTCTGCCACTGTTTATCAAGAGGATCACGTTCACTCACTCGTTACCCCTCTTTTCATTCAGTTAGTGTGTGTTTTCTTCAGTTTGCTAGAGGACTCTAGGATTCTGAAGCCCCACAAAGAAGTTTTTGAAACGGTGTGCATGCTGAGGGTACATGCTGAACAGAGCCAGCAGGATGGAGAGGACTGCAAGTGTTCCCCCACTGATCCCCACCCACCCACCCATGGAGCTTCTTCAACACTCCATGGACTGATAGGTCCATGAGCTTCTGAGGGTTATGAATCTTTAGAAAGCTGGATGTGGAGGTTCATGTTAATAATCCCAGCATTTGGGAGGCAAGAAGACTGTGCCTTTGAGGCCTGCCTGGGCTACATAGTGAGACAGTCCAAAGCGAACCAAAACCAAAACACTCCTCTCCAGGAACAGTGAACTGAGACAAGATCTTCTTTTTTTTCCCCAACAAAGATAACATTTTATTTTTTCCATTTTTTATTTAAATTAGAAACAAGATTGTTTTATATGTCAATCCCAGTTCCCTCTCCCTCCCCTCTTCCCCTGCCCTCCCACTAACACCCTACCTATCCAATACCATTTCTGCTCCCCAGGGAGGGTGAGGCCTTCCATGGGGGATCTTCAGAGTCTGTC